TGTGCCCAGTTTCATCAGCCACACCTGGGAACTCGCCAGAAATGCAAATTCTCAGGCCCAATCCCAGCCCTGCTAACTCAGAAGATCTGCTAACCCAGAAATCCAGGTTTGAACAAGCAAACCAGGTGATCGGATACACACTACAGTTTGAGAACCCCTGTTCTACCCTTGAGTTACACCCCAGGGAGAAAGTTAGGTCAGAGATCATTCAGTTTGTCATTGCACTAAACAACGCCAATGATTGCAAAACCATGTAAATAGAAGAAGTTGGCCATTAGAAAACATAGAACCACAGACATGAAAGTACTTGAAGTAATAGATAATTAAACCCATACTTGGAGAAGTTCTGAAATCCAATCTCTGGGAAATAATTACAAAAAACTACATTTGTAGTTTTGAAGTCTACTTTTGTAGAACATAGTTACATAATTTTTTATGAAACTGATGTACAAGAGCACCAGCCACAAAATTTACTCAACTGAAATGGAGTGAATAAGTAAAAGAGCATTCACTTGAAATAAACAAGAATTTAAGGCGTGTGCTGAACCCCCCTATCCATTCTCGTTCAGTTATTTTGTGAGTACCCTTACCTCTTTTACAGATAGGTACTGTATTAGTGATATTGACTCTGCAATACTGAGACCGAGAGATTAAGATGATGCCCCGTGTGCTCCTGGAAACTGCTGATCCTGATCTTACTAAAATGAGTAAGAGAGTCATGCACCAGTAACCTGACCTTTAACCTGAGCTTGCCTTTCAGGAATTTTGAGACAGACTAAATCAATTGATATGGCCATTACAATTGGAGTCCTGTCAAAATTTTTACAGTATTTGAAAGGGGTAATTGGAATCTGAAATGGACTGTAAGCAACACGGAACCCTAGTTCTCATATGCCAAGAATCCAAAAGACTTCGATTTCTTCTTTACACTGAATAACAGGAAGCAAGCAAAAATGTTAAACAACAATTTCCAAGCAGATACTGAGAGATTTTACTATTATGATTCCAATATATGTCCAATAATTCTTTCAATAATGTAAGAAACGATAGGAGAAAAATAATTTTTTTTTAAAAAATGACTTTAACACGTATCTCCTGATGGTGTGAACTGACGATTTTCCCTGAAAACTTCATAATTTTGGAGAATATGGAAAACACTCCCCATTTCTCTCTTACCTAGTTCAAAGGAAAAATATTTTACAGGAGAGCCTAAAGATAATCTTTATTTTCCATTTAAAAAACAATTAAATTGAAGCTTAAACTTTTCAATTTCAAAAACTAAAATATATGGCTTTTTTTGTTTGTTTCGATTTATGCCTAGCCCATGAGGTGCTTTTTGTAGTGGACAGAAAAACAGAATGCTTTTTAATATCAATGTGTGTTTTGAATTGTACTAACAAGCGACATATCAGCTGCGAGGTGAGACTACATTGAAAAAGACGGCTTCAGCTTACGGAAAATACCAGCTGTCTCCACTCTGTGAAGATGGATTACCACCTGTCCTGTTATCTTCCATACACAATACAAGGCACGTTGGCCATTTTAACCAGGATAACTGTACCCATATGTTCTTTAATTTGGGTCTGCATGCTGCCTGCCATTAAATATTCGTAATGGATTATTGTAAATAGGAGATTAGCATGGGAGGCAGGGTGTTTAAGCAGAGTCTAAGCCTCTGTTTCATTAAACCTCCTTCCTTGTTCTCGAAACCTGTACAAGCGAAAATACTTGTGATAATATCATCAATTTTAGCTAACTAGTAAAGCATCCAAGCGTAAATGGAAAACAGTGAGTTGTGTGTGTGTGTGTGTGTGCTTTTTAAGGCATAGGAAGTGCAGGCTACATGTCACAATAAATTAAACCATAGATTGCCATTAAAAAGATTGCCCCAACACATTCATTAACCTTGAAAATGATCACATACAGATTTGCTAGAAGCAATTTTGCTAGAAATTTCCTCCTTTTCTCATCAAAATGTTACACTATTGAATATATTTGACAGAAAATAGGATATGAAAAGAAGCACAGATTTTTTAAATATTATAGCCGAAAAAAGTTACCTTTATTTGAAAACTAAAATGTATATTTAGAATTATATCAGTTACAGCACTAAGTCTAGCCAACAAACGGGGATGGATACATAGGATTTCTACTATGGAATAACTGGAGTTAAAAAGGGCTCCATTATCAAATGCATTTATTTATCTAGTCAGCTTAATAGGTAACCAAGAGCATATGAAATGTGATGATCAGATCCTGACTTCTGTTTTAGTGAAAGCAGGGCTCACTTCAGCTAGATAGCAACCAAACACAAAGTTGTGGCCCTACTGTTTACAAGTACATGCTGGAGCCAACTGAGCAATGGACCAAACAAGAGGGCCGCTAGCAGCTGCTTTCTATAGTGATCAATATTGAAGACTTCAACTCAGTAGGATTTGATCCTAAATATTAACTAATAATCTAAAACAATGCAAAAAATAATAATTTATAAAAACAGCCTACAAAGTATATTTAAAATCCTACAGCTTCATTTTAGACTAACTAGAAAGATAACCTCAAACAGAATCTCTCCACGGTAAATAGTCATAAATTCCAGTCCTGTTGGAGGGAATAATAGATTGATATTTGCAGGTGTATTTAGTCTTACCTTGTTGAGTTCTGATTTATATTAGTCAAATATTTTATTTCTTTCAACTTGTGAAATGCTAGAAATCCTAATTAAACTTTGAAATAAAAAGAATAGGGAGAAGCAAATAGAGATTAAAGGAACACATCACAAAAACTATCTTGATTTGCAAAACTTTTCTAAAAAGGAAAGCAGAAAGCTATTGTAATGATTCGAGACAGAGCCCTTTTATGTGTGCAGATGGGAAGTACTCCTAGAGAGGGTCATATTTCCGTAGGCTAAAGACCAAGAAAACTTAACTGCCCCAGGCCTGGAGTTTAGTGGTGAGAACAATTCATTCATTGAGCACTAAGATTCAGTAATCAAAGTATGAGGACAAGGGTGTGATTTTCATCTTCTATAAGGACAAGTGACTACCAATTCAAAGGAAACGAATGGCGGTAAGAAAATGGAATCTCCCATATGGCTAAAATTTTTAAATGCGTGGTCCCTTATTTATTCACTTTTAAATTTCATTTTGTACAAACTGACTATATAATAAGCTAGAAACATACACCGTGCTTGACAATTTCCAACAACAGTTTCATACTCTTCAAAAATGACAAAGGATATAAACCACTTGCATCAAAAATTGAAAAAGACATACTAAGTGTAGAAATTTACCAAATATTTTTAACATTAACATTCACAATACAAGAAAATGTATTCACATTTAAAGGTAACAGTTACATTATTTTTTTCAAATAACACTTCACTCAGTGCATGCAATAAATTTTGTTGAAAAGTTTAATGTTAGAAGGGGCAGGGCAGGGTGATATCTAAAAAATATCTGTGGGGCACCTGGGTGGCTCAGTCAGTTAAGCTTCTGCCTTCAGCTCAGGTCATGATCTTGGGGTCCTGGATCCAGTCCCAAGTCGGGCTCCCTGCTCAGAAGGGAGTCTGCTTCTCCCTCTCCCTCTACCCCTCCGCCCCTCATTTTCTCTCTCTCTCTCTCTCTCTCTCTCCCTAAAATAAAATCTTTTAAAAAAGGGGAGGGCTTAAGAGTCAGACGGAAAAGCTGTAGTATTTAATATACATATTTATCCCATGTCCATTTGACGTACTATTTAACTCCAAAAGCCCTCATCCTCTATAAGTCTTTCTCTGACACTACTACAATTCTCCATGAATGACCAGAAGAATCAATAATTTGTATCAATGTCTTTATTTGATGTAACTTTTTTGGTTTTTTAACACTAACCTTAGGAATAGGTGCAATGGCTTACAATATCCATTTAATGTTATTTATTTAAACTTAACTGAAACCTTAGGTAAAAATGGAGAAAATGCATGTTAAAGATAAGATACGTAGTGTTTAAAAATGGCAATTTTTACAAAAAATATGAAATTAATCATCTGTTCTACCTGAAAATACTTTCTCTTAAAGGATCAACATAGACAACTTGCAAATAAGCCTGTTCTCTTTTTTCATTATTTTTACTGGATGTTTGGTTGAAACAAGACAACAAAACATTGACAAACTGGAAGTACAAAAGGGGTACAGAGAATAGGGGTCCCATCATTGCATATGGTACAATAAAAAAGAAATGAAACACTATCATCTCTTTTAACAAGGTCAAAATTGACCTTTATACTTTGGGCCCCTGGAAATATAATGCTCAAAAATATAGAACTGACAGTGGCCTAAATTCAGATTTACTCAAAATTATAAAGGTGCCAAATAATAAGAAACACCTAGAATTTTCTAAAGGATTTTCACAATTCTAAAAATATTTAAAATTTGGAGAAGATAAAAAGAAAAAAATAGCATTAGGTGTTTCTGATTTGATTGTAACCCACTTCTATAAAGGCTCAAAGATTTTTGTATTCAGTTTCTATTTAAAATTATTTTCATAATCCTCATGCTTATTTCCAAGCAAAACCACAATGAAAAATATAGATCAGATTAGTATTGGTTTTAGTCTAGTAGAACATATTTCCAATATTTCTACATACAGGCTGATTACTTTTCCCTCCCACATCTTTATTTAATTTCTGACAGATTTTTAAAAAATATTTTTCTACAGTGTAACCCTTGAGATATGATGTTTAATTACTAAAGTAAAATTTAGACTATATCCAAAGTATGCTTTTAAATATTTGTCTAAGGGAAAACCTTAATTTGTAGAACAACAAGTCGGAATATATTCAGATCATTCTTTTGCCAAAGTGATCTAAAAGTTTAGAATTGGATCTATAATATTGTTTATCTAATCTCGCTCTCTCTCTCTTTTTTTTTTTTTTTTTTGAAGGAGGAATTGGGAATGGGTGTTGAATTGGGTGGGCCACTTCACTTAGAGAGTCTGTCTCCCCACCCACGGATATCAGAGAAAAGTAAAATATGGAATGCTTCACGAATTTGTGTATCATCCTTAGGCAGGGGCCATGCTAATCTTCTCTGTATCATTCCAGCTTTAATATATGTGCTGTCAAAGTGAGCACTATCTAATTTCCTTATATATCTGCCTTATAACAGTTGTGACTACGAAGGGGTACGGGATTATTACAACTGGCACCACAATTTCCATTCTAGTTAAATAGTGTAGTTTCCAGGAGTTATTGTCCAGATTATTCAGAGCCTGAACAGACATTACTGGTTGGGTTCAGGTATTCACTTTTTGGGGAAAAAAAAGAAAAAGAAAAAAGACAGATACACAAATAAAGGTTTATTCATATCCATCTTCTTTGAACTAGTCAGAACAAGGAAGTCTCCACTGTGAACTTTATTATATAAGGGTATCTCGAGTAGAATGACTTAAGCATTAGCAAACCAGTTAAAAAATCTAAAATTGTAAATGTTCACCTTGAGTTCTGAGGCTGCATCATTAAATATTCAAAGCTCAATCAATAATGATAATGTCAATAGTCAGAATTTCTCTTTTAAAAGGAAATCTGAAATATTCTGTATCAAAAAACGTATATTACCTCTTAGAAAAATAGTGTCTCGAGTAAGAAAAGCTTAAGCTGAATTACACAAAATTAGGCTGTTTATTTTGCCTTTGATGTCATATTAAATATAAATGTAATTTGTTGAGGGTGGTCAACTGACTTGTTTTATAACTAGAAATATGATTAACTTTATAAAATCTGAATTTCCATCATCATTCTTCAGCTGCAATAAAGAAAAAAAGCAAACATGTTTAAGGAAAGACTGTTAAAACTCCAGTCTGAAGAAGTCCTTAGTCATCCTGAACCTTCAAGCAGGCCTTTGGCATAAACTCGGATCATGTCCCAGTAAGATAATTCCTCTAGGGACATATCGTTCGCTCAGCTTTGAAGGATTCCTCTTAGAGAGATTCATCTGATTCATCTGGCCTATTAACAATTCTAATTCAAAGAATCCAAATAAGAAAGCAAGCTAAAAGGAAGTAACTGGTTTTTTTTTCAACCCCAACCCTCAGCATCCATTCAAAAATATCTTCCTTCTTTTTATCCTTTCCTATGTGAGTTCTTACTAATGTTGTTAAAGAGCAGAAGCTACTACAAGATGGAGCCTGGAATTGTTCTGCGATTGTTATATTTCTTTAGGTATAAAGCACAGTTCTATTCCGCCCATGGATTTTCAGCACACATTAATTGATGTTGAGTAATATGTGATAATAAATTAAATATTAAAGCATCACATTGTGAGCACCAAAGTCTGTTGGTAGCAGATTTTTACACAACTATGAAAAGAACACATATATACGGTAAACCATTTATAGAAAAAAATTATAAAATAATTCTAATTTATTCCTTCTCCTATGATATATAAGGTTAGATTATGTTAATGATATTGACATCTATAAATGGAAAAGAAACCCCATTTTGCAAAGAGAAATATGTAAATATTTTGGAATGCCTATGGTCCATAAAAGAAGTAGAATATTAAAAGTGATGGGAGAAATGTGTGAAAACCAATGATGGAAGAACAGCTTGGAAAAGTTATAGCATGGAAAATATGGTAATTTCTTGGTTATTAAATATGGTTCAATTTAGAGAACTAAAATTAGCTATAAATTTGATGCTTTTGACAATTAAAGATAAACCATTATCCCTTACTTGGCAATTTCTGGGTTTTGTTTCATGTAAATTTGCAGCAATCTTTCTTAATTCAGTGTTGGTTTGCTCTTCAGGGTATAAAAAAATAAAATCACCAGGTAGTCTGTGATAGGGCAGCCAAAAGAAATAAAACATTGGCTCCATTAGATACTGGCTTTCTTTCTTGACCTTTACAAGTTCAGACTGCTGATTGTCATGTCTTCTCAGGTGCCAGAGAGTATAACTGTGAAGTTGGGTACAATACACCTATACATCCTTCATACTCTTAGGAAACCTGAGGCAGAAAAGAATTCTCAGGGATCCTGAGCCTACCACCCTAAAACATTCAGATATGAAAATAGAAAGTATCTGGCAATTATCCTAATTTGGGGATGTACACCTAATTCTCCACCACATGTTTCTGCAACCATTTACCCATCATTTCTTCTGGTTCTTTCAGGAACAGAGGAACATTACCACATTGACATGATTCTCCATATACTTAGAAATACTTGAGCAATTTCAGTGAAAAGGTCAATGATACACTGGCCACATGTTATCTCTGAAACTATCACATCAAAGGAAACTGTGACTACTGCCCTCTTTATGTCATTCAGTGCTATCAATTTGTGTTTGGTTTTCTCACTGGCTATTATACTGACCTCAGGAGATCATGGTCACCTGAGCTTCAAGGGGCCCCAAGTGAGTCCTCAGAAGTGAAGATTCTGTGCATCCTCCGAGCAGGGGGATTCACACATTTTCTACGTCAGGTCAGACTGAAATACTGGGACTTTCACATCACTGAAACTTATCAGCCAGAGGTGAGCAACTCCCATTTTTTAAGTTGAACAATTACATGTTGACTTCGACAACATAAAACAACAAGATTAAGTATAAATTAAGTAGAATCAAAGTAAAGGACCCTAACAGAAAGCTGAACACATCACAAGAACAATCTCATCAATACAAGAGAAAGGGAAGCAGGATGTGTTCACAATGTAAGCCAACTCAAGCTTTACTACTTCCCAGCTATTTACTTAGTGGATTGCCTTGTCAGTATCTAGGCTTTAAAAGATTACCTATGCCATGTCAGAAGATCCCAGGTATTGATCTCTCCTGGACATACAAGACATATTCTTTTAAGGGGTCACATTAGGAATGGTTTCTTTACTTAAAGTCACTGTTTCTTTTTTTTTTTCAAGTTTTTATTTAAATTCCAGTTAGTTAACATACAGCATAATATTAATTTCAGAAGTAGAATTTAGTGACTCATCACTCACATATAACACGCGGTGCTCATCACAAGTGCCCTCCTTAATACCCATCATCCTTTTAACCCACCCCCCTATTTACCTACCTCCCCTCCAGCAACCCTCAGTTTGTTCTCTGTAGGTTAGATCTGGTTTCTGGTTGGCTTCCCTCTCTCTCACTCTCTCTCTCTCTCTCTTTTTTTTTATCTGTTTTCTTTCTTAAATTCCACTGAGTGGAATCATATGGTATTTGTCTTTCTCTAACTGACAAAGTCACTTTATCTTTATATTATAAGTCACAATAAACTGAGGAAGGTATAGGTTAAATTTCTTAACCTTATTAAAAATAATAAATAATAAAAATAAATAAATAAAAATAAGTAAAATAAATAAAAAATAATAACAAAAGAAAGAACACTAACCAACTATCAATTTACCTCCTCCTTTTAGCCCATTTCAAGTTTTATTTGGGGAGCAGATTTTTAAGTACACTAATCTTGTAATAGTTTAGTTTCTCAATAATGCATAGATATCAAAGCCACAGCTTAATCCTGAATGCAAAATTAATAGATATCAAACCAGTTGACTGTGGTAGAATAAAAATATAAGATTTTCATGTGTGAAAAGGATTTGAATGTAAAACTTAACATTTTACTGGTTCTTGTCTATAACTACAGATTATGAAAACAAAGAGAAAAAATAAACTGAAAATGGTACATTTTAGAACCTACTGACTGCCACATTTTACCAGAGGAAGTCAATGTATACCATGCTTTGGCATTATTATGTGAGAAAGTAATTGCCTGTATAGAAAATGCATTTGTCTTAAGTTTCACATTCATGATTAAGACTCTCATGATTAAGAAGTCTCATTAAGTGTGAGAAGCAAAATAGCATAAGGATTATGAGCATGGGCAAAGTTAGCTGGCCTTGATTTCATCTAAAAAGTAAAGGAAATAACAATACCTACTTCACTGAGTTTTTGTGAGGATTAAGTAAATTAATAAATGTAAAATAGTGTTTGGCACATAGCACATACTCAGAAGTACTGGTTATTACGATAATTAACATGGCCTTCTACCTCAACTTCTTCCTCAAATGAAAAAAAAAAACACAACTTAGATTGTATTCTATAATATGGTTTTACTAAGGGCCAATTTATCCCACTAAGTTAAATATAAAGCAGAAATAAGTTATGTTAGCTTGAATATTAAAATTCAATCTTCCTCTTCCTCTGGGTCTGTTCAGAATTTCAGTGGCGATATTCCATATACATAAACACAATTTCCTTTGCTAAGTACTCTCTCTATGGTGCTTAAAAAGCTTCCAAACAGCCAGGAATGTACTTAAGCAGTTTGATTAGCCCCTTATGTCAGATAAATGAACAGTTTTTGTAAACATTAAGTGAAATACGGGTCATTTTGAAATGAGAGATTCTCTGTGGTATAATAAATGTCCCAAATGGAATGTCTCTAAAATAATAGGATTTTGTTCTCCAAATAAGTCCACCTTTTAAAAAGTCAGAATTTTCGGGACATAAGTATAAAATGAAAAAGGCTGTAAGTGGCAGAATACAAATGGGCATGTGTACATGCAAAATTTGTGACAGTTCGCTTGCACACTTTTAAACAAGGAACAACATCTGGCATAAACAGTCAAATCTGCCAAACAACTATTACATAAAGGGAAGACACAGCATATAGAAAAAAGCAGAAAAGAATTTTAGCCATCTAATGAATTCAATATATAAAAGACAAATGAGGTTTCCACAGAATTAAAGGCATAAAAGTCTAGTCAACAGAATAAATGCTGTGAGAATAGAATCCAAAACTTAGGCTAAAGTTGTCCTTCAGAAATAAAGACCAAAATACCATCTCTGACAGAAACAGTCTTCCAACTCCACATCACCACACAGAAATGTTGGGGGAAACACTTTTTTTTTTAAGATTTTATTTTTAAGTAATCTCTACACCCATGTGGGGATCGAACTCACAACCCCAAGATTAAGAGTCGCATACTCCTCCAACTGAGAAAGCCAGGCACCCCACGAATGCCCCTTCTGAAAGCAGGCTTATCATCCCTGTCAAATATGATAATGGCCTACACCTACTCACTGAGCATGCAAATCCACATCCCCAGGCTAAAAAACTGAAAAATGTCAATTAAAAAAAA